GAGACGCTCGCCCGGCACGAAGTGTGATAAAGATCATAAATGTCACTAACGAGAGGCTAACAGGAACCCCAAGTCTGAGACCTTTGATTTCTTTCTGGACGAAGTGGGTCATGGTGAGAGAGAGATCCCCAGAGAGGAAAAACGTAGGGGAAGAATCCCTCGTATATGTACGGACATGATGGGATCCACTCAAGAACCCCAGGGATCCATTCTTGTTTCCCATTTACTCTATCCTTATGACACAAATGACCATCACGGTGTATATGACTGCCCGGAGCTTTCTCTCCGGCGAAAATCGCGGATGCACCCAGTCTCGAGATGATGGAATGCTGCAAATACTCCGAAGAATTTGCAGCACTCTCGCATCAATTTCCCAGATTACTGGCGCCTTTCGTTTGATGGTGTCGCCTCACAATGCAGTTTCGACTGTATTTCGCGATCTTCTATTTATAAGAGGCTTCGATGAGCCAGCCAAACTATTTTAACTGCTGTATGGTGGCATGATTTTCAGGTTTTTTTTTTTATACAAACAATAATATAAAATCTATTGCCTTGGAGATACCCTACTGGGAACAAGTTTTTGAGTCACTTTTGTAAAATTTCTGGGACTTTCGCCTCATTCTTATCATTTTCGCCCCCAAAAAAACTTTTCCTGGTCTAACATCAACAATTGGTATGTTGTTCAAAACTTGATCAACTTCTCACACCACAATATATCATATCATGTCATCGCATATCCATTCATACTAGACAGTAATTTTGAGCGCAAGAAGACGAAAAAATGTACTCGTCGTAGGTGCAGCTGATTATTGAGTCATTTTTTAAATTAATAGGTAATTAATTAATGACCTGCTAGGAATTACCTGAGAAATCTTCCGAAATGCTCAAAATTAATTGATAAATTTACCCCATCAAAAATATTTCGCCTATACATAGCATTTAATATATACCGAAGTAAGTACATACGGCAGAAGTAACATTGAACATAAAATGAGCAAAACTCAAATTCAGGCACACTCGCTCTTTATTTGATTCGATATGCGATATATTCGATATTTGTCCATACAGCGGCAAAAGTGGATTGCAGCGCATGTCACGATTTGGCATGAAGTGCTTCAATCGCCAAGGAAAGGTTGAATTAACGATTTTCGTGCCATTTACCTGATATAAAGTCAGAGAGAGGCCATAAGCCAGAGAAAGGCGTAAGAAATTGCGAAGCAGGATAGGAACGCTGATTTGAAACTTTTAATTAAAAAAGATATTCATCTTTTTTTAAATAACGTCTTCAGTGATGTCTGCTTTTGTACCACCGTCCCCTGCTTCATCTTTCGCAGTTCAGCTTCCAGCTGCGCCGACTCACATTAGAGACTAAAAAAAAAAAAAAATAAAAAAAAACATAAAACGCCCAAATTTGTATGAATTGTCTCAAAGGTGACAGTGCCCGAGAAAAGAGTTTCCCTGCGAAAATAAACTGGGAACCGACGATCACTACGGAATGATGATGAAGTGGGACGAAGGCAGCGTTGCATGGAGAGAACTCCATCCCTGACCATTTCCTTCTTTGACATTGAAGGAAGAGCACAACTTTATCTCTCATCATTCATCCTCCTCGTCCATTTTTCCCTCTTTTCATCTTTTCCGCTCCTTCCGCCTGGTCTGAACCCCGTACGTTCGGAGGATTCCTTCATCGTGTGGGGACTCATTACCTGTTCCCCTCCTTTGAGCAACGTCGATTACTTTGTCGCATGCAGGCAACGATCTTTTGAGAAGCACATCACAAAGCAACCTGACCTAGAGTATGTCCAAAATATATTAATAAATCTGCCGTTAACGGGACTGAAAAGGCAAGCGCAACATAAGGGCGGTAATTCCCCAGGTCCCACTCATATATTCATGAATGCACGAGTAATATTAATATATCCCTGAGTTTATCTCATTGCTCGTAAATAATGAATGAGGAAAACTTAAATTTCAGGCAATATAATGCAATATAATGTACGATCCTCTTACCGTTCCCCTGGCTATCAGTCCAGATAATCGTAAATTCTTGATAGTCTTCCTCTGAGGACGTTAAGACCTCTTGAATAGTTCCAAGTTAAACTCAAATTTTCCGCTTCAACGAGAACCTAATTTGCTCAAAAAGAATCGCTAATGTTTCCATGCTAAGCATCTCGTTAGAAGCGTCTACTATATCTGCTCGTGAGCATAATAGTCGCCCAGCGATTTTTTTCGTATACTCGAATGTATTCAGACAGATCGTGAGAATTGGCGTCTTCGTGATCCCCTGAATCCGTGTGAGAATCGACTCACGTATACTCCACTAATGCCGACACTTATGGATCCAGCTTCCCCCCCCCCCCCCCCCTCCCCCGGGAAGCATGCAAGACCAACGAGAACGGCAGGCAGTTGTCTTCCTTTCATTCCCGAGTGGGGCTTTTATGCGAGGACAAGCCTGCTTTTGGCTCCCGGATTCAGGAGTGCTAGGGGCAATCTGCAGCTTTATATCCTCTTGAATACCGACCACTCTCCCGGTAGAATATTTGGTTTATTCATGGACTTTGCACTGACTGCACTGCTTGAATAGCTTTTAGAAATTCATTGCTAGTGAATAGTCTGCTTTCCTTTGTGTGTCTAGCCTTATTAACAATGAAGTTTACCGCTAAAAATGCGATTACTTATTATTATTATTTTATTAACAAGACCTCAAAATCAGAATGTGGCTTAATTCTTGACATAGGATTCATGGTATTTACATGCCTCATTACCATTATTTGTATTATGCATTACACGCTAATTATTTATTTGAAGATATTGTTTTAAGTACCTCCACAGGTTCCACCCTTGCAGAAGCACTGAACTCAATGCACGCATCAAGTTAAGCAGGAAACGTTGAGATATCAGTTCCTGAAAACTTTGCAATCTTCAGCTAGGTCTACTGTCGCAAATACGCCATACAGCGACACAAATGCCAATAAATGGATAATGCCACTCTCCAGGTGCAGCATGTGAAAGGGAACCATACTTTTAAGTAGATCAGCCGGCTTCTCGCATGGAAATTAAATGCACTTACGTCTTCAGAATGGCAATAAGGATAATGGGGAAGTTGTGCTCGTGAATAAATGCTAGATCTGGCAGAAGCCACATAAGTGGAGAGCTGGGTGCGACTCTGAAGGGAGCCTCGAGGGGGAGAAACCCAGTACGAACATTCAAAGAGCAGCTGCATTATTCAAAAGCGAGGCCCTCCCATCGAATCACTATCGCCGTGGTGTGAGTATACTCGGCGGACTAACTCGAGAGCATCCACTGGATTAGGCGGAGAGACTGGAAGGCAGCCAGAGATCCCTTCACGGTCCGAATGGATGGGATGGCTCACCCGTGACAACCATGACACCATGAGTTTGTCCTTGGGGACACCCGTCGCTAAGAACCAGTGAATCTCGGGAAGATGTAGAAAGCAAGCCGCCTCCGAGAAAACGAGATCTCGATCTTTGACTGAACCCAAAATAGTTTGTTCCTCGGCGCCAGAAGGAGATACAAAAGAGTAGAAGAGATAAAGGCGGGAAAGATGAGAGATTCAGCTGTCGCTTCTCAGGAAACTTATCGGTTCCGGTTGGAGCGTCACACGTTGCTAGAAAATCGGAAAGGAGGGAAAATAAAGAAAGGGAGACGGGCAGAACCCCTTCAAACTGGATTGATCTTTTGGGGCTGCCCTAATGCTCATGTGGGATGGAAATTGGGAACACGCATTTCATGGGGGTGGGGGGAGCAACGCCCCTTCCTCCCCATTTATTATATTACACTTTATACGGGAGGGCTAATCGTTGGCTGATGTTTGGCATTTGCAAAATGTTCTCCGGGGAAGAAGAAGAATCGATAGTCGAGGAGGCAGGCAGGCTCTAGGTCCCTTCTCCTCGAAGATTCCTCGGTCTCCTTCAGTCACAAGTGGAGGAAAGTTTTCGGAATCGGAGCCATAAAGCTGACCTCAGAAATTCCGCCTTCCTGTCGAGGGCAATGAGGTGGTTAACAGCGCGAGTTTCTCTCGCATCGTCTCGCTTCATTGACCCTGTCATTCCCAAGCTCTTCCCCGGGATGACTGGCTTTGAGTTCCCCTGCGCCTCATCAATCCCAGGCGTTTCCCTGTCGCTGAGCACCTGGGACGCAGACCATTTTTTGCGGATGAGTATTGGATCGACCTTTCTTTCTATCCTTCTGATGGGTGTAAACGCTCCATCAATAATGGAATAAAAACGTCACTTCTCATTACAGAGAACGAGAACGTTTAGAGCCGATCGGGTTCCCCTCAGATATGGATCGAGAAGGGAGGGGAAAAGGCCTGAAGAAGGCGGAAGGGGGGGAAAGGCCTCTAATGGAGTTCCTGATTGATTCATAGATGGAGGGGTTCTTGGCGGGGCCTGGTATGCGACTTCGAGAAATGCTGAGGTATATAGGCATAAACTCCCGCAGAAAAAAAAACCGTCGGGATCAGGAAGGTCATTAATCATTGGAGGAACTCCCACAAGACAAACCCTCGCATCAGATAATGGCTGGTAGATTCCTTATTCAAAAGCCCTGCTGACTGTCTGGAAGACTATACAGGCCACTACACTTGGTGGCCTTCTCCCCGGAGCTGCAATATTGCCTTCCGGTTCCCTCCCCGGGGAGGTATAAGCGCGAGCGAAAATGCCTTAATTCATAGGAGAGAACAAGAGAAAGAACGCTAAGAACGAGAAGGAAGGACGAGAGGAGGATTGAGGGGAAGAGGAAAAAAGGCTCACCCACATTTTCCCCTTCCAGTTGAATGTGCCTTTCTTTCTCGCCTGCCGTCCCTCATTCTAGCCTTGCCAGTTTGAGCCTCCGCTGACTTGGATCAATCCAGTCGGGATCGTGCTGAGACTTCAAAGATTTTTTTTCCGAAAAAAGTAATGAAATCTCTTGAACGAACCCTCCCGAGAGCATCCTCGCTCTCTTCCCCCATACCCCCCCTTCCCCACGACGAGAGGATGAACCCTTCCCCAGATTTACGATTAATCAGCATCTCAAATCTTCCTCCTTTCCCTCCCAATCCTTCGACTGCATACGCTCAATCGCAATGCTTTCGACAGGAGACGTCTTTCCACGGCGAATACCGATCTTACCCGAAGGCGAGCAACGGAACCGTGCGATTCGTGAGCGACTGGGAACACTGCCACTGGGATCTCCCCACACCGCCTTCCCCGCCGCCGGCAGCCCGCAGGAGCGTCGTCCTTCGCACTCCGCCGCCAGGTATTTCCGCCGCTTCGATCCGATCGAAATCTATTCGAACCTCGACCTTCGTGCAAACAGGGGAAGGCTGGGGGAAGCGATGAGCTTCTGTAAACGCAGGGCCTCTGAATGGAATGACGTCGTTGCAGTTAGTTACGACTTCGTGCCATGTTGGAAACCTGTTCCTTCTCAACGTATCGTCGATGATCAGACAAATTTGCGCATTTTAAATTTGTTAAAAGTTTCTTTGAAATTTTTTTAAATTTGCAAAATCAAATGTTTAACTAAAAATTCAAACTTGCAAATTTACACCCATGTCAGATCATCGGCGAAATGGGTGCCATGTTACGAACACAACATAGATCGACTCTCATAGTCATCTCCGCGCAATCAGAACGCTGTCTCCTCCTAACTGGAAGCCATGAAGACAAACCATGCCTGTGAAGCGTGCAAGACCCAACTTCCCCATCGGTCCTGCGTTTTCCCTCGTGCAACAGGCCCGAAAGCCACCAGCGACCTCGGGCTCCCTGCAATAGAGCCCGAGATATTTACAGTGGGACCAGGATGTCGCATCCAGGAACTTGGTGCAGGAAGCCGGAGAGCTCACCCTCATAAGTTTTCTCTCAGATCCACATCGATCCACCTGTCATCCTTAAAAACAAACTACCTCTATCTTGCTCTTCTATCCTTACGAGAAACTTCATCTACTCCGTATCGATTACGACACACCTCGAGAAACTAAGTAATCCCTCGTCTAAGAAATCGCGCAATCTTTTTCCCGGATCGAGTGTCTTGACATCCCGATCCATAAATCCTGTTCTGAAGGAGAAGACGCCATTACGACTCATCCAACGATGTAAGCAAGTCAGCAATGCCTCTAAGTACTAACCAATAGCACCTCCCAATGCGATTGAAGTCGTCCAATGAGGAATCCCGTTACATCAGCAACACCAACACCTTTTCGAACCAAAGAGAGAAATAGATCGTTAGTGACAAACATAACGAAGAAGAAAAATAGATTGCAAACAGCCTGGAGCCGAGTAGAGAGATGTTGACTGCGATGATGAATAACTTTTTTGAAAAAGGAAAGTTATTTTAGGAGACTTCAACTTCTTACAGCCGATAGAAACGAAAACCGCCGCATTGACACGCGAAAAAGCTTCGAGGATCCGCAAGTTAATAGACTCATTGAAGAGAAATGGGACGAGTTTCATCAGGATCGCCGAGATGTCCGATTGATACTTGTACGGTGATGGTATTTGTTGGCATAACGATTAGCATAACCAGTGCAAAAATCGGAAAGGGGATCGCTCGCATGAGAGGGATGGAAACGGAGAGGGACCCAATATGGCACCCAAGCCCACGAATTCTCTTCGCCTATATTCTCTAGTCACCTTGGAACAGATCGACTTTCAATTTCCGCTCCCTTTAATATGAGGCCGAAGTGACAGCCGAGTTTCACAGAGATGTGATTCTAAGCATTAGCCGCAATAACTTCTTTCAAAAAGTCAAATGACATTACAGTTCACAGCGAAGACACCATGTTCGTCTGCAACCATTATCCTCTTAAAACAGGAATATATATATATATATATATATATATATATATATATTCCTGTCTATATATATATATATATAAACAATATCTATGCCTTTAAAAACCAAACCGCTTTGATTTGTGCAGTGGAGGCGGAGCGGGAGGAGATGGAGCCCCGTCACTGGATCATGATCGGGGTGGTCATCCTGGTGGCCTCAGCCGTCGGGCTTGGGGTCGGCCTTCCCCTCGCCTTCAAGGGAGCAGGCACCCTGGAGGACCGGCTCAAGGTCGTCTTCAAAGTCTTGGACGAAGTCCCTCTCGTCGACGGGTGAGAGACCCAGGGACTCCTCTGAAGGATCCATCCCATGCAGAGGCTTCTCGGGGATCGATTCCACACATGCATGATTGCCTCTCGGATCGGATGGGACTTCCTGCCCGTCTACCCCCATGAGATCTGAATCCGAATCCGTATTATAAACGCCGGATTGCCAAGATTATTTTGCATGTGAAAAGAGCCCCTACTGGGTCGAAGTGACGTTAGGGGATGGATACTGCTCACAGTGATGTATGGGGGGTGATCTTCCAAGGGCAAGCAGTACTTTTTCATCGTCAGAACCAGTTTAGCCTTCCGTGAGAATCCGACCTCAACCTAAATTAGAAGTCCGACGTAGGAAAAAAAAAAAACAGGACAGATTACTTTTGGAGAAAAAAGAGAGAAGACCTTGCGATTCTTATCGCTATCGGAGTCAGATCCACGTGTTCCTCAAGGCGAGGAAAAGTTCCCCATAAGCAAAGAATCATGCCGAAGGATAATGCCGAAGGATCGTGCCGAAGGATCATTAGCGGCGAACTTTCCGAGGCATTGAAAAAGCTCGTCTTTGTGCTCTGCACAATGGCCCCTTGGACTTGGAGTGTGAAGCAACTCCAAACTTGTTCGGAGCCGCTCCGATGCATCGCTAGGGGAGAATTTGCTCTCTCGTCTGGAAGAAAGCATGCTGGTGTGAGTGAGCTGCATGAGCAGGTTTTTTTCTCCTCGAAAGGAGGGGAAATCAGATCAAGTAAAATATACGAGGAAAAGGGTTTTGCGAAAGGAAGGGGCAATTGTGAGACGAAGGGCAATCGAGCCCTGCAGTCTAGCATCGTCTGTGCCCTGCTTTCACGAGATGGAAGAAAAAGGCATCTATATATACGGGAGACAGAGACAAAGAGAGGGCGACGAGATAGCCCTCCTCCGCTCGCAGAATTGAATTATTGGCCCGCACTTGAAGAAGTCATGAAAACACATTTTCTCGGGGGCTTCGTGAAAAATGACACTTTTCTCCCCGCCGACCATATCCGTGATGGATCGAGGGATTGAGTAATGAAAGCCCTCTTCCGTGGCATGGCCCTCGCTCGCGACGATGAACGCTGCTTGCCACGTTCTTGGATACGTCTCTATGCATAGCAGTCATTATTGTTGCCATGCTCCAGCAGCTGTCGGAAGGAGAGTCATTAGGGAACGGAGTCGTTGGGATTGTCGACATCTGGCGAGTTCTCGGTTGAATATCGTGTAATGTATACGCGAGTCTCAGATTAGGGGGAAAATCAAGTAATGAAGCTTATTCAGTCCCAGAGAGACGGTACGAGGAAGGGAAAAAAGGGGAGGAGAAGGAAAAGGGAATAGAGGTACAAAGACTCGCTTATCTCTGAGTCCCTGATGATCCCCTTTTGTCAGGGCTGGCAGCGAGACAGGCAGCAGGAATATTCACGACGATTCCGTCCGGTGCGGCTCGCTCTGATTGACAAGAAGACTAAAAAAAAAAAGACTTCTAATGGTTTCCTCACTCCAATGAACCCAATTTCGAAGCGATCCACGTCGCGATACTGATACGACGATTCATGGGAAATTTTCCTTCCAGACACAACGACATGCCCTGGAACATCCGGAACTTCCTGCACAATCAGCTGCGGCAGGTGGACCTGTCAGCAAACCTGAAAAACGTGAGACCCTGGAGCGAGAGTGCATGGTCGCACACTGACTTACGGAGGCTTCGAGAAGGAAGGGTTGGAGCCCAGGTGAGTATCCCTAGAGTCCCTGATTTTATTATTTTTAAAAATTCGAGTAGACTGTAAAACATATTTTCCACCCTTACGAAAAGTCTACTCTATTCCTATAATGTCTCTCAAGTATTTCATGGTAATGCATTTTGCCCTTTCACACTAAAACTCTCTCGTGTCCTAGAAAGTTCCTATTAAAAATAATTTCATACTTTAACACCAGCAAGATATACGAGGAAAATGATCGAAAACGCCAACCAAAGACCCCGCAGAAAAAAAATGCATGAGGGTGATGGGGAGCCTACTGTATAGGTAAAACCGACAGCGCCCTGTTGAGGCAGGTCTGCCTAACTCCCCGGCTATCATTCTCTCGACTCCCATCCGCTACTTTCTCGACTCTATTTTCTCTTCTGCGCCTTTATTACAAGAATGGATGAAATGCACATCAGGAGCGAGCCGTATCTGGTGTCCAGGGGGCCTCATGCAGCTCACGAGCCACGTGCTGCACAACATAGAGCCAATGGCTGAGGGTGGAGGTTAGAGACCGAGAGCCGAGATTGATGGATGAGTGCTGTCTTGGAAGAAAAGAGCTGCAATAGTGGCTATTATATATTCTTAAAATAGCGGCTACGTACTATTCCTTAGTAGCGTGGAACAGGGGTTTCAATCAGTTTGCCTTCGTGGCGAGATGAATGCCTGGAAGAGGAGGGAGAGAGAGAGCTTTATCCGAAGAGAAGACGTGTGGCATTGTCTCGAAGCACCGGAAATGAACAGGGGTCGATTAAGAGGAACCTAGATTGTTTGGCACCGTTCAGTGGTATCCCCCATTAGGTCTCTCTAATCTCTCCCTCTGCCTCTTGCCTTTGAGGACCAGGTTCCCTTGAATCGAGAAGGAGATCTCCCTGTACGAAAATTATCTTGTGAGGCAGGAGGAGCCGTAAGAGAACATCTGTTGCCAAAGACGATTCGTGTCTAATCGATCACGGGATGAAGTAAAGTTCAGATCGCATTGCAATTCCCTTCCTCTTGTGATCGTTGGCCGTTTCTCTGGGAACGGAAAGTCCCTCTTTGTCGTACCGACTGAGCCCACATTTTTTCTGACATGTATACCAGTTGGAATATTTAAAGATGAGGTTGAAAAATGCCCATACATCAATTAAAAGCAAGAAAAATCAGAAGAAAAAAAAAAACATTTTCACGAGTGTTCCGCAATGAAGGTAATACTATGGACCCCCAGGCACATTCTCATTAATTGTGTCCTCGCTTTTAAGGGCTCGCGTCTAAGCGAGCCTCATTTGCTCCCCTTCTTCGATGCCGGGGGGCAATCCTGCATTTTTCCAAAAGAGTGTCCAAGAAAATAATGGACATTTTGGTTAAATGATTCACTTAATACCGAAGAGCTTAAGACGTCTAGGCTGAATGTTCGCAACAGATGTTACCCTTTCATTCAGCGTTGTTTTCTTCGCAAAATACGGTCACAATTTGCCACCATATTAGTTGACACAGTAACCAGTACTGTTTGGAATGAATCTTCAGCATAAGGGTCTCGGGAATTAATCCATGGATGCAGTGTTTGCAACTGAAATGGAATATTTGACGTATCCCAATTGGGTACACAGCAACGGACCGAGTTAATCACAAACCCAGCTTCTGCTCGGCGAGAGAGCAGTTCTCTCTCAGCACGTAATTAAACTACAGCACTTTTATACCAATCAGCTGTTTCCCTTGTATGGGGCACTTCTACTATTGATAACCACGGAAAATACTGTAGATACGAATCGTTTCAAATGCCTTATGGCTTCTCTCAAAGCGCCATATTTAACTTATTTTTATGTATTCTACGCGCAAAACGATTTCTATAAAGATCTGCTGAAAACGAAAACCAAAGTTCCGTATTTGAAAATGGAATGATGAGTTTTTATTTACTTTTTCTGAAGGTATTATTGCGAGTGAAAATGGCCGAAATTAACTCCTTCCAGCACAAAATAAAACTTGTAGGAAGGCAACCACGGCCTTTTGAAGTAATATTAATATTACTTCTTGGTGTGGACGAGGATAGACAAAATAATGTTTAAAAAAATCGCTTAAAGATTTCCTTCAGAGCTTTAAAAATCTTGCAAATAAAACTTTCGAAGACGTCATGACCGAGAAAGTTTACTTAGCAAGCCTAATTGCAAAGAAAAGTTGCAGATAGAATTTCTGGTACGAACGAGGTCATGAAAATTAAGGCAATGACGTATTCTGACGTAGGTAAAACCTACGTCAGGGTTATCGTGGTATCACGTATCAGTCGTGGTATCACGTAGGTATCAAAACTGATAGTACCGCGAAGCTGGAGAGGCAAAAATTTACAGTATCATCAAACGCATAGGTTAAATGAAAATGACTGCTATCGAAGACAGAGGATTCCAGTGTTGTGAAGATTATTTTTATTGTACTAGTACAAAACTAATTGATTTTCCTTCAGTTCGCCTGTTGAAAACCCTTNTTTCCTCACTCCAATGAACCCAATTTCGAAGCGATCCACGTCGCGATACTGATACGACGATTCATGGGAAATTTTCCTTCCAGACACAACGACATGCCCTGGAACATCCGGAACTTCCTGCACAATCAGCTGCGGCAGGTGGACCTGTCAGCAAACCTGAAAAACGTGAGACCCTGGAGCGAGAGTGCATGGTCGCACACTGACTTACGGAGACTTCGAGAAGGAAGGGTTGGAGCCCAGGTGAGTATCCCTAGAGTCCCTGATTTTATTATTTAAAAAAATTCGAGTAGACTGTAAAACATATTTTCCACCCTTAGGAAAAGTCTACTCTATTCCTATAATGTCTCTCAAGTATTTCATGGTAATTCATTTTGCCCTTTCACACTAAAACTCTCTCGTGTCCTAGAAAGTTCCTAGTAAAAATAATTTCATACTTTAACGCCAGCAAGATATACGAGGAAAATGATCGAAAACACCAACCAAAGACCCCCGCAGAAAAAAAATGCATGAGGGTGATGGAGAGCCTACTGTATAGGTAAAACCGACAGCGCCCTGTTGAAGCAGGTCTGCCTAACTCCCCGGCTATCATTCTCTCGACTCCCATCCGCTACTTTCTCGACTCTATTTTCTCTTCCGCGCCCTTATTACAAGAATGGATGAAATGCACATCAGGAGCGAGCCGTATCTGGTGTCCAGGGGAGCCTCATGCAGCTCACGAGCCACGTGCTGCACAACCATAGACCCAATGGCTGAGGGTGGAGGTTAGAGCCGAGATTGATGGATGAGTGCTGTCTTGGAAGAAAAGAGCTGCAATAGTGGCTATTATATATTCTTACAATAGCGGCTACGTACTACTCCATAGTAGCTTGGAACAGGGGTTTCAATCAGTTTGCCTTCGTAGCGAGATGAATGCCTGGAAGAGGAGGGAGAGAGAGAGCTTTATCCGGAGAGAAGACGTGTGGCATTGTCTCGAAGCACCGGAAATGAACAGGGGTCGATTAAGAGGAACCTAGATTGTTTGGCACCGTTCAGTAGTATCCCCCATTAGGTCTCTCTAATCTCTCCCTCTCTGCCTCTTGCCTTTGAGGACCAGGTTCCCTTGAATCGAGGAGATCTCCCTGTACGAAAATTATCTTGTGAGGCAGGAGGAGCCGTAAGAGAACATCTGTTGCCAAAGACGATTCGTGTCTAATCGATCACGGAATGAAGTAAAGTTCGGATCGCATTGCAATTCCCTTCCTCTTGGGATCGTTGGCCGTTTCTCTGGGAACGGAAAGTCCCTCTTTGTCGTAACGACTGAGCCCACATTTTTTCTGGCATGTATACGAGTTGGAATTTTTAAAGATGAGCTTGAAAAATACATCAATTAAAAGCAAGAAAAATCAGAAGAAAAAAAATTTTCACGAGTGTTCCGCAATGAAGGTAATACTACGGACCCGCAGGCACATTCTCATTAATTGTGTCCTCGCTTTTAAGGGCTTGCGTCTTAACGAGCCTCATTTGCTCCCCTTCCTCGATACCGGAGCGCAATCCTGCATTTTTCCATATGAGTGTCCAAGAAAATAATGGACATTTTGGTTAACTGATTCACTTAATACCGAAGAGCTTAAGACGTCTAGGCTGAATGTTCGCAACAGATGTTGCCCTTTCATTCAGCGTTGTTTTCTTCGCAAAATACGGTCACAATTTGCCACCATATTAGTTGACACAGTTACCAGTACTGTTTGGAATGAATCTTCAGCATAAGGGTCTCGGGAATTAATCCATGGATGCAGTGTTTGCAACTGAAATGGAATATTTGACGTATCCCAATTGGGTACACAGCAACGGACCGAGTTAATCACAAACCCAGCTTCTGCTCGGCGAGAGAGCAGTTCTCTCAACACGTAATTAAACTACAACACTTTTATACCAATCAGCTGTTTCCCTTGTATGGGGCACTTCTATTATTGATAACCACGGAAAATACTGTAGATACGAATCGTTTCAAATGCCTTATGGCTTTTCTCAAAGCGCCATATTTGATTTATTTTTTATGTATTCTACGCGCAAAACGATTTCTATAAAGATCTGCTGAAAACTAAAACCAAAGTTTCATATTTGAAAATGAAATTATGAGTTTTTATTTATTTATTCTGAAGAAGGTATTATTGCGAGTGAAAATGGCTGAAATTAACTCCTTCCAGCACAAAATAAAACTTTTAGGAAGGCAACCATGGCCTTTTGAAGTAATATTAATATTACTTCTTGGTGTGGACGAGGACGGACAAAATAATGTTTAAAAAAATCGCTCAAAGATTTCCTTCAGAGCTTTAAAAATCTTGCAAATAAAACTTTCGAAGTTGTTTACTTAGCAAGCCTAATTGCAAAGAAAAGTTGCAGATAGAATTTCTGGTACGAACGAGGTCATGAAAATTAAGGCAATGACGTATTCTGATGTAGGTAAAACCTACGTCAGGGTTATCGTGGTATCACGTATCAGTCGTGGTATCACGTAGGTATCAAAACTGATAGTACCGCGAAGCTGGAGAGGCAAAAATTTACAGTATCATCAAACGCATAGGTTAAATGAAAATGACTGCTATCGAAGACAGAGGATTCCAGTGTTGTGAAGATTATTTTTATTGTACTAGTACAAAACTAATTGATTTTCCTTCAGTTCGCCTGTTGAAAACCCTTTTGTCAACTCAAGATGCAATTCTTTTTTTCCTGATACCATTGTATTTCACCATCGTTCCACCGTTGCTTGTGGAATCTTTCATATATATTCTAAGTTGTTAAAAAAATTGAAATGAAAGACTTAACCGATTAGTCGAAGGCTACATAATCGATTAATAATCGATTAATTGAATCGCAGTCCCCCCAAAGTTTCCCTCCTGAATCTGACTTAAAGAAGATGAGTAAGGTTTTCTTTCCTTCTCTGCAAAAGGTTCTCACTTATTTTCTACATTATCCCGACAGTTCCTCCATTTCCAAGTACAAAGAGCAAAAACAATTATTTTTCTAAACCTTGAAAGAAACTAATGTCTTCCGGAGCCATCACTACATTGGATTGCGACCGAAAAAAAATTATTTTCATATTCCCCCTTTTTCTTTAATGCAATTTACACACCATGAACGCCTGTTTATCTCTTCGAGAAAAACAGGTATTGAGGGTGGATTTTGAGGTCGATTAAAATTAATCTATGACTTTCGGATACCCCAATAAAATCTGCAGTCATATCTATAATATGTGTATCACCTATTTTACATATTATCGTTCCATTATTCTTCCAGCTGGTGTCAACTCCAATTCTATGCTCTCTCCCCTCAAACCATACGATTTCGAGGTCTAGAAAACAATCAAAGCACCCAACGTTTCTTTTTTTTCTTTTGGCGTAGTTCTGGTCGGCATATGCTCCGTGCCCGTCGCAGTACCTGAATGCTGTCCAGATGACCCTCGAGCAAATGGACTTAATCAAGAGGATCGTTAAACAATACGAAGAATACCTCGCATTCGTCGACACTTCAGACGGTGAGAACATCCTATACCCATCGTGCCAGTGAAGGAACGCCTCCTTGATGAAGGCTTCGGGGAGGCTCCTTCAATCTCGCTCAGCAGGAAATGAATTGAAACCATGAATACGAAATTACACAAAGGCGCAGCAGCCTCCTCTTCATACTTCGTATATGGAATTCTTCTTCAACGTCGTGAAAATTCCATTTCCGGTGGCTTCTTCGCGAAGTTGTAAAGATCCTGCCTTTTCATTTCCTAACGAGGAAATTACTTTCTTTTACTCATATTAGGTGTGAGGGAAGCGCACGGAAGCGGTAGGATCGGAAGCCTGATCGGAATCGAAGGCGGTCATTCGATTGGGAATAGTCTGGCTGTCCTCAGAATGTTCTACGACCTGGGAGCCCGGTACTTGACCCTCACCCATTCCTGCAATACACCGTGGTAAGACTAGAAAAAAAAAAGTATTTTCAGAAGAGATTTAGCTACCCGTTTTTGAGGACTCGAAAGGGATTTCGCCAACAGTTTGCATTCTAGAATTTCAGTGCGCATTTCGGTTTCTTGCGGATCTAGAACGACATCGGAAGCAGGTAGGTAGCAGCATGGCGAGCCATCCATTGATCGAGTAAAGCTAAACGATTCTCGAACCATATCGCATCCACGGATCACATTTCCTTTTCACATTTTTCAGAGAACGGTTGGCACGGGTCATATAAACCTTCTGTTGCGCTAAGGCTATAAAACTAGTTCCAAATGAAAAATTCTTAACGAGAAATCAAATAAATTTTCTATCAACCATGTTCAACTCTCGTTACTTGTTTAGAACGCACTGCAAACTTCCAATTTTTGAGATACGTTCAAAATGAGTTTTATTTGCTCGGTACTTGGCACCTCCCTTCTCGTATTTGGGTCTGTGTCTATTTACACACTGTAAATCTTTTCCCCCCTTCTCAGAAAGGGGTAGCCGAATCTCCCTTTTACTTCCTGGTCTTTCTTAACCGCCGTCTTCGGTGCCCCCCTAGGGCGGAAGCGGATGCTCGGGAGAGGGGCTTCGAAAGCGCAGCGTCCCGGGTCCATGGTCTCACACCATTCGGGGAAGTGCGTAAAAAAACTTTGCCCCTTGTACACTATCATTCCTTTTTCTCGCTGCATGCGATTATGTGGCCGGCTGAAGGAGCTGAATGCGGACGGGAAGAGCCGGATGAAAGAACGACGGTCCTTCCAAGGAGGGTGCATAAAGACAGAGAGACTGAGAAAGAAAGAGGGGGAAAAAAAGGGATAAAAGGAGATGGAGGTTTCATCCCATTTCGAAAGCAGCCGACCGAAGTTTCATCTCTCCCATGGCTCTCATTCATCGTCCTATTTTTCCTCCGAGAACACATGCTTCAAGACCTTCTTGGCACCCACGCTTCCAAACAGCCTATTTTCATGTAGATAATGCGGTGCATGGCTTTTACAATCGACCACAGCTTCATCGGGCAAAGTAATTTTTTTTTCCCCACTGGAAGATAAATCGTCCTCGCAGGGCCTTCCTTCCCTTCGTCTGCGGACGAGTAAAATCGATAAAGGCTTACTTGGAATCAGAGGACCGTCAGAGAGTTAAGTTGAGCGTGGAAATGAATTAAATGAGATTTGATGCACGACCAGCGCGGGAGAATAATCTAATATCTGAGGAGGAAAATAATAAAATTTTAATTAGGAAGAGTGGTTCACTCTATTTTGTTGCAGTCCTAAGGAAGTGCTTCGACTTGAATAATTGTGAGGGAATCAATTGTAGCTACAGGAATAGATGAATGAACTGCAATTACTTTGAAATTGAGGGGGAAATAGCTGTTCTGAAGATCTATTCAAATAGACTTTCTATTGAAGCACGCATTCTATGGGAACAGTATGGGAAACAATTCTGCCAGCAATGGCATTCCGAAGACATGTAAGCTTACATGCATTTAAAACTGCATTCCGCGAAGGGGGAAAAGGATAATGTGGGGGAACCTATATGCATACAGAGTAGAATCAGTCCCTAATGATTATGAGCAATCGGACGCCTCCCCGTTTAGAAAGTAGTGAAGGAGATGAACCGGCTGGGGATGCTGGTGGACCTGAGCCACACGCACCAGAACACGATGCGGCATGCGCTGAAGATCTCCGGTTCCCCCGTCATGTTCTCGCATTCCGCCGCCGCCTCCCTCTGCAATCACTCCCGGAATGTCCCCGACGACGTCATTCGATCCCTCGTAAGAGTGTTCATTTCCTCTCTGCAATTATAAGTCGATCCGTCGTGAGATCGTGATAAGTTGTCCCTTGCACCGAGTTGAGATTAGGGACTTTCAAGGTAGGATTCCAGCCTTTCAAGGATCGAGGTGCCTTTGAAAGAAACCCTCTAAAGCAAGGCTCAGCTGGGAAGACTTGACGGTAATCAAATTTCCCGCTGCGCAGGATTTCACATTCATTCGATTTCCCTGAATAACGAGTCATTGTCTTACTTGGAAAGCCCCGAGTGTTTCTGCGATCGATCCCAGACCAAGTTTCGATCGACATCAGTAGGTTTTCGCACATTTGCGCCTTAGAAAATTAGAGGGTATCCTCGTCGTTTTCCTCCGCGAGATAATCCTCGCGGTACTTAATTTTCACTCTTCCATGTCACCTCAAATTATAACTGAGATTTACCATGAAATGTAAAATGTTAAATGTTAACATGACAAAATAATCATAATTATAACGATAACAACAATGATTATCGTGAAAATATATTGCGTCCTAGCAATAAGTAAGGAGCAGCAACTCTATACGTCAAAAAAGTGGAATTCCGTTCATGCATAGGACATTGCTATGCATGAGGAAAGGAGCGTCAATCTTTGGCATAGAGTGGGTGGAGCCGCCCGGGGATTTCCCTTCCCACCTCCCATCTATCGATTGCAGTGGACGGGAAGATTATGCAAAGCACGTAAAGTGCATCAAAGCCCATGATGATGATGACGAGGGGTGTTAGAATTGAAATCCGATTCCCTGAGCCCAGAGTCAATCCCCTCAAGATGAAGGGAAACAGCGTTGCTCTTCACCTCCCCTTCCACATCATGTCTCGCCCCCTCATGCTCCTTGCAATCCCCCTCATGATATTTCGCCCGCGGATACAACCCGCACCTGGACCGAAAGATAAAGCTGAAAATGGGTCAAGAATCTGCTTCCTACGCATAGCAGCTTCTAGGAAAGAACCCCCTCGTTCCTCTAGCCTTAGTTTTCACTCATCCGTGTCGTAATTGAACTGAAATGAATTTCCGTAAAGACAGAACCTGCACTCCACGATTCATGATTTCAGGCATTGAACGGAGGTATCATTATGGTCCCTTTCTATCCGACCTTCATCTCGTGCAGTGAGACCGGAAAGCTGAAAGATGTCATCGGTAACGATCCCATGCATACCATCAAATACAGGCCTTCACTCGAATACGAATTTCTTTATTTGGTTTTCTTCTCTTCAGATCACATCAATCACATCCGGGATCTGGCTGGGATCGACCACGTAGGCATCGGATCGGACTTCGACGGCATTAACAGGTCGGAAAACGAACGAATCCCCATATCTGACAATGCTCTTACGTGGTTTCATTTCTAATTTTCTTCTCTCCTAGTACTCCTTCCGAGCTGGAAGATGTATCAAAATACCCCTACCTCTTGGCCGAACTTCTAAAGGACCCTAAATGGAGTGCCAGCGATCTGAAGAAGCTGGCAGGCCTTAATTTCCTCAGGGTATTCTCGGCTGTCGAGAGGGTCTGTCCTCCCTTATTAAAATCAATTCAGACTCGGTAATTAAGCGTAGTCTAATAGTGCAAGCCTGCTTTATGCCCCGTTCAGGTTAGTCGGGAGATGAAACGAGGAGGAGTTCTTCCCGAGGAGGACCTCATTTCAACCGAGGACCTCAAGGGCCACACCAACTGCACGTATTCTCCGTAATTTATTTTAAATCCTCAGTGATGCCCTGCCTGTGATGAAAGGGGAGAAGTCGAAGGACGAGGCGAACAGAAAGAAATCCACGTTCTTCCATGATTAAACCCATCGATTGCAGATAACATTTCGTAGACTTTTTTTTTTCATCGCGCCAGATATGTGAGTGAGCCCCCCCACTGTGACCGATGTTGATCTGTTCAATTTGTATGCCCCCCCCACCCGACCTTCTCGGCCCTCCTTTCCTCCCGATGCGAAGATGAATGTGAGCATGACGGTGAACATTTGGTGCTGTTGAGATGTTATATGGGATTGAAGTCATTTATAGAACCTTGTGCCCCTTTCCTTCCGTCTCATTTTCTCGCGAACGATCGTCGTGAAATCTCATCCGGATGTCATGTTCCTTTTGATGAAAGTGGACCTCTTCTCGCCTGATGAGGAGCCATTATCCAAGAGATAAAGCAAAAAAAAGTAAGAAATCATGGTACCATATACATGGCGACAAGAAAAAGTTGAGATTTCTGGCACACTGCCCACACGAATGGCCACAAACTCATTTTAAAAAAAAGGCTCCCTGGTCCTTATCGAGCAGGTGCAGCCCCTGCTTTTCTTCCTTGCCTTGAAAGCTCTTTGGTCCGTCGATGACGATTGAAATTGCATATCACAGGAAATGTGCTTTTTGAATGAAGTAGCCGGGGAGCGGGATAGAAAGCGATCAAGTGGGATACGAACATTTACACCAACTACCTGAATTGAGATCATGCCAAACACCGTGGGAAGTGCCAGGACTTGTGAGAAGGCCTGGAGCAGGGGTACCCAGAGTGCAACTCGCGTAGAAAATTGGATAAAGAAAAAAAGAGAAATACTGGAGATGAGAGAAAAACAAAGGGGGACTTAAAAAAAAAAACATACATAATAGAGAGTGAGTGCCGCCTCCACTATGGGTGATGAGACTTTATCGTAGCCAGGAAAGATCAGCTTCGCTCAACAAAGCAATTCTCTCACTCCAAATCAGCAATGGATTGCCGTTTCATCGATTCATTCATCGATGATACAGCAATTTGTCTATTTTAAGACGTGCAACCCTTCTCCCCGGGCTTTGTGGTCCATCCGACCCATAAGTTTTGGCAACTCTAGAACCAAATGAAGGACACGGAGAAGTCAAGTCAGCTGAACGCTGACTTGACTTCTCCGAATTCTGGAAATTCGGAACTCCGCAAATTCGAACACTCAATGGACCCGTTCAAAGACACACGCCTATCCAGGCATCCAGCATGGAATCATGGATCAGGAGCAAGGGTGAAGAGACTTTTAATCAGTGTCGCCATCTGAGGTCCCTCAAGCGTGTTCGACTTTTCATCCATCGGGGAAAATCCGCAAAAAGAAGACTCTTGTTTTCTCTATCCCTCAGGCATGGACCCCGCTATGATTTAAATTCAAGGAACTTCGAGAGGTTTAGAACGTCAGACAGCAGTGCAGAGAAGGGAACTCTGAGAGTACTCGACCCACCTTGCGTAGGAAGCGGTGGAATGATAAATAAATCCGGGGGACCTCGTGATGGAATTATGCGAATTCCCAGGTCTCAAAAGAGATCTAAAGAATCATTTAAAATAGTCCTTACTCCTCAGGGAAATAGAAGTGGGTTTCGAGAAGCTCAAGCGAAACGAACCCAATCCGACCAACCCTGAGTGTTTTTGCCGACCTGTCATGTTTTTTGTAATATTTACATTATTCTTTGTTCAAATTACGTTCTTCCAGGAATAAACGCAAACTCCCAATCCTATGATTGTGATCCCAGATCTAAATGCATACTAGAGCTTGCAATGGAACAGTGCTAATATCGTTGCCAATTGCATATTGCAGTTGTGTAGACTGCGTCGTTAACTTTTTTGGCATTTGTTAGACTGTCAACTGTAACCAATAAAATATAAATCTGCATATCTGACCAAATTCTTAATTTTTTTGCGTTCCCGTATCGCATAAATTGGATGTAGAGTGGGTAAGACGTATTAAAATAGCTAGTGGTAATACCAGAGTTAAAGCTTACTCCATGAATATCATTCTTTTAAAATAACTTCGAGTGACGAACATCCCTTTTTTTTTTCAAAACAAGCCTTCCGCCCACTAACTTATGTACAAACTACCAATAATATACGTCATTCAGCCAATACAAATTTTTTTTTCAACGGGAATGGTTGACAGATATCATTTGTCGGAAGGATCGCTCCAGCGGTGCCAAGTCTCATCACATTGTACTTCAATGTAAAGGGAATATCGCGAAAAATCTAGGCTCCTGATTTATGCAATCGTATTTACCCCAGCAGCTGGTGCACACACTTCCCGTCGAGATGAATATTCAGTCAGCCTCAGTCTGCTGTCTATCTCGCAAGCCAATATTCCCCTCCACTAGCATCAAGAAAAAGCCTCCTGTGCCTTGAAATTGGTAGAGCTAGGAGTTTGCTTCATGCTTGAGAGGCTCCTGCAGCTGGCCATTCTCACTCGTTGCAGCTAGAGCCTGAAACGCAGCAGCGCCTAAACTTTGGCTAGGCCGGTTCCATTTCATCGCCCTCCCTCTCTCATAATGACGCACCTGCTGAGCACTTACGTTACTTGGCTCACGTGGAACAGCGAGGCATCATGATATGAGGATGCCATTTTATTGAGTCATTCCGTTTCCAAGATTCATGAAATCGACACTCAAGAAGGGCGATATAGTTTAATTTTTGCATTTGCTTTTGTCTTTTTCTTTCTCAAGGGATTCTTCTTCCTCTGCTGAAGCATCGAGGAAAAAACTATGAGATTCAGTCATGGTGCCAAACGTTTAATATCAGACTGTCGTTAAAGCCAATACTTTGATATATATTCCTGATCAATTGGATGAACAGTTAAACTGAGTAACTTGTAGGAGTTTTATTTGCCACAAGTAAGGCTAGTGCAGGCCAGAAGTAAGTCTCCTTTCGATAACTGTTGGGAACAAGCGAGAAAGCGGCAGGTACGAGGGTATGTAGAAGGTGGAGATGGGAGGAAAAGGGTAACATGCAGGATTGACATATGTGGCATTTTTTTTTTTAGCTTGGCTAGCATGTGGGTGAGATCAGGTGCCAATTAAAATCTGATTTTCCAAATAGGATGGTGCACCTTCAGAGCAAACTTGTGCGCAAGTTCCTCGATAAAAAAAATTCCCAGTAGGCCCATTCCATGGCCACCAAGATCACCTGATTTCACCCCCTTGGACTTTTTCTTGTGGGGCTATGTCGAGGATATTTTTTACTCAAGAAAAGCAAACAATATCCAAGATCTGAAGAACAGAATCGTCGCATCTATCCAGACAGTCTTGCCTGACACTCTGCATAAGGTGTGGCAAGAGCTCGAGCATCGTCTGGACATCTGTAGAGTAACATATGGTGCCCACGTGGAATTGCAATAACAGTTTTTATTTTAATGTTTGAGTTGCTCTTTTATTTTTCTGGTTTAATCATTTAATTTGAGGCATTTTAAAGAGAGATGTTACTATTTCCATACCTTTTGAGACACCCTGTAAAATGCTCTGTTATATATATCTCTTGCGTTGTTTCTAAGACGATCATGACCATCCTGATACCTAGGAGTGTTATAAAAATGGGATTATATCCAGAAGCCTCATTGCGAATCATATTGGAGTTTCAGATCTTCCTTCAGGGCGATGACGATCACAAACCTACTTTATTCATTAGTGACACCGAGGGGTTCTACTGCGATTAACATAATTGGACATGCAGTACGTACATGACACCTCAAATTTCCTGTCCATTTTTCCTACCCCAAAGTAACTGTCTTGCTCCAGAAAGATCCTTATCAGCAATTGTCATTCTGCACGTTACAGTCCGAATGCTTAAACCTCATTTAGGTGAGATGAGGGGTTCTTAAAGTTAAGGATCTCTTTCCCCCCCCCCATTGAAGCCGTTAGAGTCCATGTATTCTGAAAGGACCGTATCATCGATAATGGCCCCATATCTTCCTAAAATCTTGTATTACCAGTATGTCATGATGGTCACAAGTTCAAGATGTAGCTACAGGATAAAACTTATGTTAAATTAGCTTGGATCCTGTGACTATAATTACGACCAGCATAACTCTGATTGTAATGACGCATAGAAGTGGACCATCCAGTGGCTGCTCATGATAACAGCAACATTTTATGGATCTTGTCTCTCATTCCTTGGGATCGCCATTTTGACACATTGTTTCTCGATTGTGTTTCTTTACCACCAACCTTTTCATCGATGTTCATAGCATTTCTAACGTGCGCACTTACACATTGACTTGAAGTTGACCGGAGCTGGGAATTACCCCATCCAGACTACAACTCCTCCCAGGTTATATCAAAACAATCTCTGACCAGACTTGACAGGCGGGGATGCTGTCTGTGCTACGTATTACATTGAGACTCCGCGGATAAGAAACGGACCGTGACTCAAGAAGAATTAATGTAAGCCTCCTGTGGGTTGCGAAAGTGACTCGCGAGGAAATCCTTGAAAGCAGAATTGTATCGTGAAACTTCGTCCAATAAAAAATATCCTCTCCAAACAATTCTTGCTTTTTTCCCCCATGAGGTCGCGCCATGCAAAGCCCAAACCGAAATATTCACTTACCAAGACAAAGCAGAAAAAAACTACCGCAATCCTCACAGAAATGCTTAAGCAAAGAGCACTGACAGACTTTTGATATAATTTATCTTCGGTTTTCTTCTTTTTTTTAAATATCTACTTCGCAATCTCCTTCTGTAGAAATGCTTGAGACATGATTTCACGAGTATGAGCGCCTAATCCGGCAGCTTTAAGCTGCTGTTTAACGACTCATTTTCCTGCTGGAAAAGCGCAAACAAAAGATGCATAACCTTTTTTTTTTACGGTGTAATTCCGACTCTGCCGCCTTAGTGTCATGCAACAGGGGAAGGCGAAATGGATATGTGCTTGTTTCCGGCCGAACTGATCTCCTCGCATGATATGACATTCATATTCAAAGGCTGATTTTCCCCTCCAATGAATCTAGACGGAAAGGAAACATCCCTTGGGTAGACTCTGGACTACAAATGGAGATTCTAATGTTCCATATGCGGTCCAATTGACCACATGCTATAACACCAAAGAAGCTTACACATTTCATCTCGTGCAACACTAGCAACGAAAGCAAATTTCACTGTAAATCTTAAGGAAAATATCTCTCAAGGGGGTTTCTGCCTACAGAACGTTCATTCAAGTCCTTGAAATAG